CTCGGCTGGCGCGGTGCTTTCCGCGGCGCTCGCGTGAGGTCGGGCACGTCCCCTGTACAAGGGGGATCTTTCGACGACGAAGAGGAAAGAGAGTCAGTCAAAATTTCAAAACTGGTCCAAAAGTACTCAGGACATCGTTCGAATATAATCTTTAAAACACTATTGTGGCAGATATTCCTACTGCACAGGCGCACGCCCGACTCAACGCTCGTGTTGGGCGCCCGGGGCCTCCTGCGCCCGTGCCGCGGACAAGGTCTGCCCAACGATCCGCCGCTGCGGCCGCTAGGGGAACCGGCAGAAACGGTAAACACAACAACAACTCCCTGTCTCTCTCTCTCTCTCTCCCCTCGCCTCCCCACTTCCTGAGGAGGAGGAGGAGAAGGAGGAGGAGGAGGAGGAGGGGGAGGAGGAGGATGAGATGAGATGAGAGTCATGAGAGGAGAGGAGAGGAGAGGAGAGGAGAGGAGAGCGCAGCGGAAGCGCGTCCGGCGGGCCGACGCGCCCCCACCCCCGCGCACACGCGCGGGAGGGCCTTCGGCCTCCGGCAGGGGGACGCGTCGCTGGCCCCGCCCGCCGCCCGAGGACTTACCCGTGGGAGACGCTCGGCCCGCGCGGATTCCACGCATCGGCGCTGGGGCCCCCTGGCAGCGCCTCCAGCGTCGCCCCCAGCGCGCTTCGCGCGCCAGGGAAGGGGGTCCAGGTCTGGTCCGAGGAGTCCGCGCGGATCTCCCATGCCACCTCCCCAGGCCCTCTCGCGTCGTGGACAAGAAGACAACGGCGGAAAAATCTTGGCCGTCTTCGGCCTCTGGGTGCTTGCCGAGCCTCAGGACCGTCAAATACTGGCTCAGGACGAGAAGCCGGCCCCGGGGAAGGGGTCAAGACCTCTGGTCCTCATATGCTGCGTAAGCGTCGCCGGATGTATGGAGCTGGGGCCCCTGTGGACACCGATCCGTGTGATGGGCGTGCTGGGCGGGGGGCGGCATGCTAACGCGCCGATTGTAAAATATACATGGAAATCGCTATGGGGCAAGACGCGTGCGAGGTGAGGTGGTGTGTGTGTGTGTGTGATCTTTCCAGCTCGTGCCCATCAACCACTCCGCGGTGCTCGGCCATTACTCCTGGAATCGCATGGCCACTAGCATCTTCAGCGTGCGCGCGCGCCCCCACGTTGTTTGTGGCAAGCCTCCGTCCAGCCTTAGGTCGGGCATCTCCAACTACAGGCGGATTGTGGTTGAAACCTTAAAATAGACAAAACATGCTCAAACATAGTCAACAGTAGCCAATAATCGTCCCCACACTATTTTTTCTACTATTTTGAATATCCCTTCTGTAGAGGGACGTGACGGACTTACGTCTAGCCCTCCCATCTGCTACACCAGGTGGAAATTCGCCTCAGCGTGCCCCGGCTTAGCGCTTCGCGACGGTGCCGCCACCCCGCCGCTGGAGGAGAAAGGGTGTGTGTGTGGCTGCCTCGGCCAGCATGCCCTGCAAGTCCCCTCTTGGTCGCCCGAGTGCCTGGCCGCGGCCGCCCACCGTTCCTTCGCCTCTCCCCGCGCGCGCGCGCGCGCGCGCGCGTGTGTGTGTGTGTGTGTGTGTGTGTGTGTGTGTGTGTGTGTGTGTGTGCGTGTGTGTGTGTGTGTGTGTGTGTGTGTGTGTGTGTGTGTGTGCGTGCGTGCGTGCGTGCGTGTGCGTGTGTGTGTGTGTGTGTGTGTTTGTGTGTGTACGTGTGTGTGTGTGTGTGTGTGTGTGTGTGTGCGCGTCTGGGCTGGCCGCGCGCGTCTCTTCGCCCGCCTTCTTGCGTCGCGCCGCTGCGCGCAGTGGCCGTGGCGCTCGAAGTGTGCGTGCGTGCGTGCGTGCGTGCGTGCGTGCGTGCGTGCGTGCGTGTGATTGTGTGTGTGTGTGTGTGTGCGCGTGTGCGTGTGCGCGTGCGTGTGCGTGTGCGTGTGCGTGTGCGTGTGTGTGTGCGCGCGCGCCAGCACTCGAAGATGGTGTTTCTGACGCGCCGTTGACGGCAACACCACTCCGCTCTCCCTCCGGGACTTCGCCTCCGGCTCCTGTCCAAAGCGTACCTTTTCCTGTGCAAGCTCTTCGGCACCGCCTGCACCCCGCACCCTCCAGCCGCCTGAGGCTCCGCCCGCCCGCGCCCTGTCTCCCCAATTAGTGCTTTGCGCGCCCCGCCTAGCTCTTAACCGGAAGAGGACCGCTCTCGACCCGCAGACCAAAAAAGTGCGCGCGCGCAAAAGGCGTGCGGGGCGGGAGGCGGGCCTCCATGCCACTCCGACGGGACCCCTCAACCCCACCGCGGGCCTGGCGCAGCTCCCCGCGGGGCCCCTCGGTGCGCCCCCGCGCGCTCGTCGGCGCTCCCGCCGCTGGCGACGCGCAGCACACGGCGCCAGCGGCGCCAATGCCCGTCCAACTCTCCCCCGGGTTTCCGGGCCCTGCCCACTCCCCCGCGCCCGTGCCCCCCGCTGGGCCCCGCCCCCTCTCTCCGCGTCGGCCGCCTCCCCCGCCCGCGCGGGGCTCCTCTTGGTGGCCGCGCACGCCCGCCCCCCCGCGTCCGCAGCTTTGCGCCGGGTCCTGCCCCCCCCCCCTCCCCGCGTCGCTCGCCCCTCCGCCAGCTGCCAGGCGGATTCAATTTGGGGGCATGCCCGCTTTCCCGCGTCCGCAACGTCACGCCGGGTCCTGCCCCTCCCCCCCGCGTCGGTCGCCCCTCCGCCAGCTGCCAGGCGGACTCCATTTGCGGGCACGCCCGCTGTCCCGCGTCTGCACCCTCGCCAGGTTACCACCCCCCCGCGTCGTCCGCCGCGCGGCCGCTCCAGTCGCGGTGAAGCCCTCGGACCGCCGATGCTTTGTTCAGTGCGGGCTCCCTGCCCCTTCTCCAGGACTGGGGTCCAGGGGCCTGGCGAAGGCCTCCAGCGGCCGAAAGCAGCCCAGAAAAGAGCAGGGAGGGGAAGGTGGAGCGCGGCGCGGCGCTGTGGATTCAAAGCCAGGACCCAGCAACACAGCGGTGCGTGTGAAAATCTCTGGTGGTCAAAGAGGCCTGGCTGACGGCCGTCGAGGTTCATGCGCGAGCACGCCCCTTCCGTCGTGACTCCGCCAAGGCCCAGTGCACCACGACGTGGACATATACACATACACATATATATATATATATATATATATATATACACACATACATGTCTCTCTCTGTGAATATATATATATATATATATGTATGTATGTATGTTTATATATATATATCGCTCGTGCTTGCGCTCCACAGTGAGTCAAACAGACTATTGAGCAGCAGGCTTGTGCGTTGAGTGGAAGGGTGCCCTTGCAGCACGGGCACTATCCACAGCCACCTCTGGGAGTGTCCACTTCCCTGGCGGCAGTTTCGACTGGATGTTGTACACATGAAAAGCAATGATGGTGCGTTCCAGCGCTACACGCTGAGGATACTCGTCCGATTCTCCGCTGCAGAGGCCCAAACGAGCAGGAAGCGAGCTCGGCGCAAGTGAGCGCGCGTGCCGCACCGTGCAGACAGCGTGCCACATGTGAGCGCAGTGCACGTAGTGAGAAATGGAGTCAGATGCATCAGGAGCATCACCCTGCTGGCAGCCGAAAACACATGGGCCGCCTGCGCTCTTGTCACGCGTGTGCAGGCGTCGGCTTGTGGTCCATCCCCCCGCCCAAGTCTTGAGGAGGGCGGAGTGAGACGCAGGAGAGAAATCAGACTTGAGCAGCACGTCAAGCGGCTCCCACTCGATCTGTGCTTGCACATATGGCTGTGATTCTGTCGACCAGGAGTTGAGGCGGGTGGGGAAGGTCGAGGGGAGGCGATCAACCAGGGGCGAGGGGACAAGGTGAGAGTGGATGTGCTTCTGCATGCGCAAGCGTGGATTCGGGCGGGCAACCAGCAGGCGGGCTTTTTCCGCGCGCCACTCATTCAGTGCCTGGCCACAAACGGTGGCCACCAGCTCGTTCGGGTCGTTCTTGAAACCGCCAACTGCCTCCTCCAAGGTGAGGGCAATCGGCGGAGAGCGCCAGTGCGATGGCGCATGCATGCCCAGCGCCAGGTCGTAGAGGGGCAATGCCACCGCCGCCGCCTCCTTGAGCTTGGCTGCCCAGTGCGGCCAGTTCTTCACCGAGTCCGTGGCGCTGCGCATCAGGGCGGCCCTGTTGCTGAGCTCGAGCGAGACCGTTTTCAGCGAGGGCGACCAGTCACCAATGCGAAGCAGACCATCTCGTGGCAGCGCTTGAGGAGGAGGGTGCCAGATGCGGTAAAAAGCCCAGTTATCCTTGCGCTTCATCTTGGGCGGCCACAGGAACAGCTGGCTGAGGTAGGAGATCTTGGTTACCGCCCTCTGGTTGTAGAACATCAGCGAGGTCGAAGTCGGGGCACTCGCATCCGCTATCAGGTTGGTCGTGCGCTGCTAGCCCGCCACCACTTTCTGCCAGCGCTTGAGGTTATCCACGCTCGGGCCCATCAGCACCCCAAGGTATTCAGCCATGTCCGTGATCGTCATGCCGCTCCACTTCGGGACCAGCGCCTCGATCTTGGCGCGCACCCTGTCCACGACCGCCGGCGAGAAGGAGTCCGCCAACGGGATGATCTTGCACTTCGCTGTCTGATCTTGCACTATATATATACATACATATGTATGATTGGTGACAACGTATATCCGTAGGTTTAGGTCGGGCCTGTCCCCCTACAGGGGGATGTTCGACGAACAATAAAAAATACCCGAACAAAATAATCAACAAATAGTCCAAACATAATATGGTGATTATTTTGGGAGTATATTTTGACCTTCTTGGGGTAATTTTCGTTTTTTTTTAATTTGTCGTCGAAGATCCCCCCTGTAGGGGGACAGGCCCGACTTAGCCGTAGGTCCCAACTGTCCCCTCACCCGTTCCCCCTCACATCCGCTTCGAGCTGGCTCGCAGACTGCCGCGTGATGGGCCGGGAGCCACTGGGCGCCCTTCCTCGCGCTCGGGCCTCCCTGCCAGGGCACGGC